TATGACCATCCAGCACAGCATCATCGTCCCCTTGCAGACCGTGCCGTTTCACACATCCCATAATACTAACTCTGAGTCCCTTTCAGACTGTGTTAAGATCATTTCTCTCCACGTGCGAGTGTTTGGCACTGGGTGCAAATGCCGGCGAAGCAACAAGCCTTTCCCGGAGACGCTGACTGGCCAAGCTCAAAACGTTCCTCTACAGGAGACAGATGGCAGCAGGCCTCGTCTTCCGAGATCCAGCTTCAACGCCACCCACAAACAGAACGTGCTTCCGGTACAAATCTCTCGTAAGGAATCCGTTCGTGCCTTAGAAATTCGCCGGAGTCATCTCGTTTAGGAAGGTAAGTGCCACCACGTCAGACTGACTTTACTCCAGAGCCTGCAGCGCGGTACAGCTCCATTTCACGTTCCGCGGCGCGTCAGGGACAGTCGCTGTATCCAAGCGACACCACCGCAGAAGCAGACACGTTCGTGCACAAAGAGCCTGCACGGGACCAGCTGGTATATGCTTTGCACGAAGTTCTAGCACGAGAGCGAACCAGTGGAAATAAGTGGCCAGGATCACACTTTGTTCCTCTGGTCCCCTTCCTGGCTGAGCAACGGAGGAGATGACAGGCCCCCAAATCCGACTTTCCCCCTTCACCGTGGAGCCCACCCTAGCGCCGGGTCAGACAAGTAACTGACCCGTATTCAGAAGCCCATGAGCATGCCTGGCGAACAAATCACAAGGCTCAGAATGAAAAGCAAACTCCTTTCCCTCTCGTTTCACCAGAGGCAGGCCTGGGCCGGCCTCACTCCATCCCTGTGCAGCTTGGAGCGAGCCCGGCAGAAAGGAAACACGATTCACATCAGGAACCCTGGTCGTATTTCCATTCCAACGGCCCCGTTTGCTCCCCGCCCCTTCGCAGGGCGCCGGACAGCATCTGGCCCCACAGCCACCAAACACACGACCCCACTCCTCACGCCACGGAGACTGGGAAGCACCGCGAGCCTTTCGGAGTCTCAGGAGTCTCTCACCCAAACCCAGCGGCCCCATTTGCTGCACGAGCCCGTCACGCTGCTGGCTTCAGGCTGCGTTTCCTCCAGGCCCGGGAACCAATGTGACGCACCAGGAGTCGTGGCTACGGAGCTCGATGTTCCCGTGTTCCTCACACGCATGCTCAGCGTCTGCTCCGGCTTCGGGCCATTCTCCTCTTCCCCTGCGTCTCACCGTCCGGAGTGAGCCAGGCTCCGTTCCTGGGAACCCCGGCGGGCACCTGGATTCTGCATGTCCATGGAGCCGCTCCAGACACGCTCCGGAAAGCGCGGATACCAGAGCCTGGCCTTTCGGAGTCACAGAACAATGGCAAGGGAGAAGCCCCATAAGATCCCTGGGCCTGGGGCTTTCCTGCTTTCAGATTCACGACGAGGAAGCTTTAAAGCCACGTGCCCGTCACAGCCTCCCATCGGGTGCCCGACTGCATGGCCTGTTCTCCGGATCAGAACAGGAACGTCCACTTCCCGAACTGGCTGGACCTGCTCCTTGGAAGGGCTCTGCCCTTCCCTCCCTAGTCTCTGGGTCTCCAGCCCAGCGCGCGGATCCTAGTCCCTCTGTGCTGCCTCCCGGCGCTGCCCTGATGGACCCCGGCTGCCCTGCACCCCCACCAGGGCATCCAGCTGTTCTCTGCTCGTGCCTCAGCTGCCCACAAGCCAGGGGTTACCTGGGGCGCCACACAGCCGCGCTGCCTCTGGCCCTTTCAATCCCATTTATCCGGCCCGGCACATCCCTTCTCCAGTCCCCCTCAGCGTGAAATCCTCCGCTGGGCAGCACAGAGCCTGACGGGACAGGGGCCTTGCTGCTGGTGCTCCGCAGGGCACATTTCACCCATCGTGCCTCAGCTGCCCACAAGCCAGGGGTTACCTGGGGCGCCACACAGCCGCGCTGCCTCTGGCCCTTTCAATCCCATTTATCCGGCCCGGCACATCCCTTCTCCAGTCCCCCTCAGCGTGAAATCCTCCGCTGGGCAGCACAGAGCCTGACGGGACAGGGGCCTTGCTGCTGGTGCTCCGCAGGGCACATTTCACCCACGAATT